ATGAATTAGAAAATCTGTTAGCAGATCAAGAAGCACAAGGAAAGCAAGCAATTGAAGGAGCACAAAAAACAGAGGAAGAAGCACTCTTCAGTGGACGAGGCCGAGGAAGAGGCAAGTACAGTACTAGAGGAGGTTTCTATAGCACTAGAGGAGGAGCTAGAGGCAAAGGTAGATTCCAGAGCATCAAGATAGATCAGCCCAAGGATGAGAGATCTTGGAGGCAGCAACATAGGAGTTACCATTCAGGGGGAGCTCAAGAAGGCCAAGAGGTAGAAAGTAGCAGCTCCAACAATTACAGGAGACGTAATGATCTATGTTTTAATTGTGGAAAAAGAGGTCACTTTGCAAGAGACTGCAAATACAAAAAGGGCTCAGTGCAAGGAAATGTTGCTACCTCAAGAGATGAAGAGAATCACAGTGAAGAAGAATGGGACATGCAGGCTTCTTGTGCAACAGTGGAGATAGAAGTCGAAGTTGAGGCTAACCAAGTGGTTTTGTCAACTTCCAACCAGAGCAGAGTTGATTATAGCAAAAATTGGATAATTGACTCTGGAGCTGCTAGTCACATGACAGGAGATGAGGAAAAGCTATTGAACTTGTCAGAATACAAAGGAAACAGAGTGGTAGTCACAGCAGATGATACCCGGCTTCCGATCAAGCAAATTGGAGATGCAGTGATAACACCACGCACCAACTCTGAACAAGTAAAGGTGAAAAATGTCCTCCATGTATCTGGGATGAAAAAGAATTTGTTGTCTGTGGCACAACTTACTGCTCCTGGAAATTATGTGGTGTTCGGACCGGAGGATGTGAAGGTGTATCAACAATTAAAGATTGAAGGCACACCAATCATGAAAGGAGAAAAGAAGAATTCTGTTTATGTGATGTCTGCTGAAACAGCATATGTGGACAGGACCAGCAAGAATGATACTGCTGACTTGTGGCATGCACGTCTTGGACATGTTAGTTATCTTAGATTGCAGGTGATGATGAATAAATCTATGGTGAAAGGCCTACCTAAGCTGGAGGTGCGCAAAGATGCTGTTTGTGCTGGTTGTCAATATGGGAAAGCACATCAACTTCCATATCAGGAGTCCAAGTTCAAGGCCAAGGAACCACTGCAGCTGGTACACTCGGATGTCTTTGGTAAAGTCAAACAATCATCAATTGGTGGAGCACATTACATGGTGACATTTATTGATGACTACTCGAGGCATGTATGGGTGTACTTCATGAAGGAAAAATCAGAAACTTTAGAAATGTTTAAAAGGTTCAAAAAGGAAGTTGAGCAGACAATTGGCAAGAAAATTCAATGCCTTCGAACAGACAATGGGGGAGAGTATACATCAAAGGAATTTTCAGATTATCTACAAGATAATCGTATTCGGCGACAACTAACTTGTCCATATACTCCTCAGCAAAATGGAGTAGCTGAACGGAAGAATAGACACCTTGGAGAAACATGTCGAAGCATGTTGCATGCTAAGAATGTGCCACCTAGATTTTGGGCAGAGTGCATGAAGACTGCAGCCCATGTGATTAATAGGCTTCCTCAAGCTACTTTGGGATTTATATCACCTTTTGAGAAGCTGTGGAACATTAAGCCAGTGGTGAGTCATTTTCGAGTCTTTGGCTCGGTGTGCTATGTGTTTGTTCCAGAAGCCCAAAGGACCAAGTTTGATAAAAAGGCAGTCAGATGCATTTTTCTTGGCTATGATGACCAAAGGAAAGGATGGAGGTGCTGTGACCCAAATACTGGACGTTGCTGTGTTTCTAGAAATGTTGTGTTTGATGAAGCATCTTCTTGGTGGTCCCCACAAGAGATAGTGTTGCCAGATTCCAAGGAGTTGGAAGAAAAAGTACAAGAAAAATTTGGAGAAGATACTTGCAGGCTGTTAGATACTAAAGAAGTTGTAGAGAAGGAAAAAGAGATAGCTCCTGAAAGAACAGTAAGTCCATGGCAAACAGGAGTACGAGAGCCCATGATCGAAGAAACAAGACAAGGTGAAGTAGAAGAAGCAGAACAACAGCCTGAGCAGCAGCTAAGACGCTCCACTCGAGAGCGAAAGCCAAATCCCAAGTATGCTAATATTGCTCTTATTGAAGCAAGTCCGGTGATCGAACCGGAGAACTATGAGGAAGCTGCACAAAGTATTGAATGGAGAAAAGCAATGGAAGAGGAGATAAAGGCTTTAAAGCAAAATCAAACTTGGGAATTAGTACCCAAGCCAAATGATGTAAAGCCAGTATCTTGCAAATGGGTCTACAAAGTTAAGACTCGACCAGACGGGAAGATAGAGAGATATAAGGCCAGGCTTGTTGCTCGAGGGTTCTCTCAACAGTATGGGATAGACTATGATGAAACTTTCAGTCCAGTGGCTAAGATTAATACTGTTAGAGTCCTGCTTGCTCTAGCTGCAAGCAAATCATGGAAGCTGTGGCAGATGGATGTGAAGAATGCATTTTTGCATGGAGAAATTGATAGAGAAATTTATATGGAGCAACCATGTGGATTTGAAGACAAAAGGCATTCAGAGTATGTCTGCAAATTAAAGAAGGCACTGTATGGACTCAAGCAGGCACCGAGAGCATGGTACGGAAAAATTGCAGAATTTCTAGTTCAAAGTGGCTATTCAATGACAGTTGCAGACTCAAGCCTATTTGTCAAAACTCGAGGCAACAAAGTAGCAATTGTGCTTGTCTATGTGGATGACTTAATTGTCACCGGAGATGACATTGAAGAAATTCTTCAAACAAAGGAGAACTTGTCAGTACGGTTTCAGATGAAGGAGTTGGGAGAATTAAAGCACTTTCTTGGGCTTGAAGTGGATCGGACAAAAGAAGGCATATTTTTGTGTCAGCAAAAGTATGCATCAGATTTATTAAAGAAGTTTGGGATGCTTGAGTGCAAGCCAATCTCAACTCCAATGGAGATGAATGCCAGACTCTGCTCCCATAAAGGGAAGGACTTAACAAGTGCCACCATGTACCGGAAACTGGTCGGAAGCTTAATCTACCTGACTTTATCAAGGCCGGATATATCATTTGCAGTAGGAGTGGTGAATAGATTTATGCAAAATCCTAAAAAGTCACACTTGGAAGCAGTACGCCGGATTCTCAAGTATGTCAAAGGAACACTGGACTATGGCATATTATACAAGAGTGGCACAGAGTGTAAGGTGGTTGGCTATTGTGATGCTGATTATGCTGGATGTCATGATACAAGAAGATCCACTACTGGTTATGTGTTTAATTTGGGATCTGGAGCAATCTC